ACACAACAACCATACCATTCGAGAAAGGGGGCAGAGGCTCTTTAGCCCCAGGCCTGTCGGAACAGCCAGGTTTTGAGGGCTTTGCGGAAGGCCTGGAGGGTGGTGAGGGTTCGAATCTCCACGGGGAGCTCGTTCCAGAGGGTCGGAGCAGCCACAGAGAAGGCTCTCCTCCGGGTAGTCGCCAGTCGGCACTGGCCGGCGGATGGAATTTGGAGGAGGCCTAATCTGTGGGATCTAATCGGTCTAGTGGAGGTAATGGTGCCCACCTCTCTCCTCCCAGCCCCCCCCCCCCGGAAGCTGTTGCATCAGATGGCGAGGTGGTTTGGCTTAATCCGCCTGCGATGAAGGTCTGGGTGCTTCCCAGATTTGGGGGTTCAGTTCAGAATGGGGGAACAATCTGGGTTGTTTTAGAACAGGGGTCTCCAATCTTGGCCGCTTTAACCCTGGCGGACTTCAACTCCCAGAATTCCCCAGCCGGCCACTTCGTCATTAACTTCAAATGGTCATAAACGAACTGTTGTTAAGTTGAGAACTACCGATGCAGCAGTTCAGTTCAACTTACAGCAATTCGTTTAGTGACCGGCTGAGAGTGACAACGGCACTGAAAAAAAGTGGCGTGACCATTTTTCACACTTACGACCGTAACCTCAAGCCTTGGGTCACATAATCAAAATTCAAAGCAGCCTCCATTATGGTCGTAAGGCGAGGACTGCCTGCATTGGTTTGCTTAGTGACCTCTGCATTCACTTAATGACCCTCCAAAAACATTGTAAAGTCACATCCGATCCGCTTTGTGGTTGTCACAGCAAGCTCCATCACGGTCGTAAGCTGAGGACTGCCTGTATTGTTTCGCTTAGTGACCTCACTGTCCACCACAAAAAAAAAGCTAGTAAGGTCACATGACCGATCTGCTTTACAACCATCACAGCAGGCTCCATTACAGTCCTTCGTCGACCTGCATTGCCTTGCTTAGCGACCTCCTCATTCACTTAATGACTGCCGCAATGATGTCGCGAGGTCACACACGACTGATCCGCCTTAGGACTGTCGCAGCAAGCGCCATCACGGGTCGTAAGTCATGGGCCGCCCTGTGTTGGTTCGCTCAATGACCCCGGCGTTCCACAAGAAACCCAGCCAGGTCACAGCACTGATCGGCTCTACGACCGGATCCATTCCAATTGTAAATCCATTCCAGTTGTAAATCGAGGACTAGCCTTGAGGAGCATCCCAGCTCGTAGGGAGGATGGGGGGGGGCGTAGTTGGGGGGGGAAGAGGCCTCCCTGCTCAATTGGGGGGGGGGGAAGCGACCCCCCCACACACATACCCCGATGGGGTTTTTGCCAATCAATCTTAATTATATCCAGCTCAGCCCCCTTTTTAATCAGCCGCTAAACAGAGGGAAGAATTCCTCCCGTGGCAACACAACCCACAGACCGACAAAATCGAAACGGCCTCGGGAGGTGGTGGGCACTCCGGCATCAGTGGAGGTTTTAAAGAAGAGGATTGGACAGCCCTGGGTCCGAAAAATGGCCCTGCTTGGTCAGGGGGTTGGATTAGATGACCTCCAGAGGTCCCTTCCAGCTCTTACGATTCTTGTGTTCTACTTAGGAGAATGAAGGAGGGATTTTCCTACTAAGTGAGGGCAATTAACTCCTTGCCTCCAGAAATTGTAGATGCCCCCAACACCCGGAGGTTTTTAAGAGGACAGCTATTTATCCGAAATGATAGAATCTCCTGCATGAGCAGGGGGTTGGACTAGATGACCTCCGAGGTCCCTTCTAACTATGTTGTTCTAAAAGGGTTAGGATAAAATCCCGAACCTCTTTGGCTGTGTTTTTATTTTCTCTGGCATGAATGTCCTCCCTGCCCATCGGGTTGCCTCGTTTTCACATCTCTGACGACCACAGAAACTTGGGGTTGGAAGGGACCTCGGAGGTCTTCTAGACCAACCCCCTGCTTCAAGCAGGAGCTCCTATTCTGTTTGTGGTTCAGTGCCACAAGGAGGATCTTATGGTTGGCTTGGAAACCAGCTCCTTCACATACTAGAACGTGCTATACAGGTACAAGCCCAATTTAGCCTGTTGCTGAGCAAGACAGTTGTTAAGTAAGTTCAGCCCCATTTTACGACTGACCCACATTTGTGGCGGTTGTGTCCAGCGGTCACGTAAATCCCCTTTTGCAAATTTCTTTTATTCATTTCTCTTATTGGTTTTCTATTCAGTGCATTTCTTGGTGCTTAATAAACCTTGTTATTTAATTTGCTCAGAAATACAGATTTCATTCTTCATCTCCACCCCTTTATTTTTCCAACCATTGGTAAAATAAATTTCACGCTTGATAATATTTCTTGCCTTCTTTCGGTTTAATTCCAATCTGTCCATTTCTGCACCCTCTAGTATTTTTTTTTTATTATTTCTTCATCTCACGGGGATATCTTCGTTTTTCCAGTTTCGGGCGAAAATAATCCTCGCTGCTTTTAAGACATGTAATATTAAATACATACTTTTCTCATGAGTTTTTTTTTCCTGATATTATTATACCTAATAAAAACAATTCAGATCTGTGAACCAGCGAAGTCAATGGGGAAGCCAGGTCCACTTTACAACTAGGTTACCAACTTCAACCTTCCACTGATTCACTTAACAACTGCGGCAGGGAAGGTCATAAAGTGAGACAAAAATTTGTTTTAACAACTGTCTTGTTTAGTAGTGGAAATTCTGGGTCTCAACTGCAGTTGTTAAGATGGGGACTGGCCGTGCTACTGCACTGGCGGTCCTTCACTTACGACAGCAATTGGGACCACGACAATAAAGACTCGGAAATTATTTCCCTGAGACTCAAGAAGGATAAATGAAAAAAAAAACTAATTTTTTCCACCACGACCGCCAAGAGCTTGGGATTTACCTGCTGTTTTTCCCCCAATTCGGTCTGTTTTCTCATTCAATACACCTGAACCGTCAAAAGAGAAAAGGGAGGTTGTGTGCGAAGGTTTACACAGATGGAGCGAAGGGAAGAGGTTGCAGCGGCCCAGAGAATCGGGCAGGGAAGAAGGCAAAGCCTCACGGAGTCGGAAGGGACCCTGGAGGTCTTCTAGTCCAGGCAGGAAGCCCTCAATACCCTTTCAGACAAATGGTAGCAATAGCAGTCAGACTTATATAGCGCTTCAGCCCTCTCTAAGCGGTTTACAGAGTCAGCATATCGCCCCCAACAACAATCCGGGCCCTCATTTTACCCACCTCGGAAGGATGGAAGGCTGAGTCAACCCTGAGCCGGTGAGATTAGAACCGCCGAACTGCAGATAACAGTCAGCTGAAGTAGCCTGCAGTACTGCACTCTAACCACTGCGCCACCTCGGTACAGGTAGTCCTCAACGTACGACCACAGTTGAGCCCCTCCCCATTTCTGTCATTAAGCAAGACATTTTTAAAGTGAGTTTCTCCCCATTATAGGACCTTTCTGGCCACTGTCGTTAAGTGAATCACTGCGGTTGATAAAGGTTAGTAACCTGGTTGTTAAGTGATTCCGGCTTCTCCCCTAGGGACTTCGGTTGTCAGAAGGCCACAAAGCAGGAACACACGACCTTGGGACCCAGCAACGGTCATAAGTATGAGCCTCTGAATTTTGATCACATGATTAAGGGGGTGCTGCAAAGGTCGTAACCTCTACAGGTAGTCCTCGACCTACGACCTCAATCGAGCCCAAAATTACTCTTACCCCTTACACGTTTGTTAAGTGACCTTTGCTCCATTTTATGACCGTTCTCGCCCCAGTTGTTAAGTGATTCTGGCTTCCCCATTGACTTTGCTTGTCAGAAGGTCACAAAATGTGACCGTCATAAATACGAGTCAGTTGCCAAGTGGCTAAATTTTGATCACATGACCACAGGAATGCTGCAGTGGTCAGAAGTGACTTAGTGCCGGGGTCACACTGAACGGTCGCTAAACGAACTGTTGTAAGTCGAGGACTATCCCGCTGCTCAAAATAACTATCTTTATTCCCTCGATTTTTCCCCAGGCCTGGTCCAGATCCCTGTGAGCATGTACCAGACGGTGGTCACCAGCCTCGCCCAGGGGAACGGCCCCGTTCAGGTGGCTATGGCGCCTGTGACTGCCAGGATCACCGACAGCACCGTCACCATGGACGGCCAGGCGGTGGAAGTGGTCACGCTGGAACAGTGATGGCCGACCGGGGCTGGATTGTGACGCCGCAGCTTCTTCCTCTCTTCTCCGATTTTTCTACACCTCTCCGGAAATGCAATCAGGAAGCGTTGGGAGTCTCACAACTTTGGACTACACAACCCAGAGCGGAAAAAGGGGCGCGTGCGCGCTGGGTCATCAAGCGAACCCACCTGCTTCCCACGGGAGCGAGGAGGCTCGTCAGGACAGGTTACGCCCCGGCTTTCTTTGCATGGATCGCCCGTTCTGAAGAAGGGCGAGGATCGGAAAGCTTTCCTGCCCTCTGTTTGTGAAGTCGGGTCCAGGGCCCCTCTCCTCTCTGGTGGACCCTCACCGTCCCACCATTCCCACTGAGCTCACCCCTGCCGTCCTCACCTTGAGAATTTAGGGCTATTTTTCTTGCACGGACGAGAATTTCCCGCGAGAACGAGAAACCTCGACGGGCGAGAATGTCGCACGAAAACGAGAAAAGTCGATGGGCAAGAATTTCCCGCGAGGACGGGGAAAAGACCCTTTTTCTTCCTCAAAAAGGCGGCCGAGAAAACCGCATCTCCCGGAGGAGACGGTGATCCTGTGATCTGACGATTCTGGATCTGTGTCCAGGAATCTTTGGTAGCCAGGTGGGATCGGCGCTCCCTCCTTCCCATCGGAAAGTCCACATTAGACGGCTCATCCGAGAATCTTTCACTGACCTGATTTTGGCTTTCTTCCTTCCTCGCCCGTTGCGAAAGGTGGAAAGAAAGAGGCAGGGGGCATGCTGCCAAGAGGGTATCCCCTTCCTCTTGATGCCCCCCCCCCCGTTTGTGATCCAAGAACCCTCAAAACAATCTTTCCCGTGGTGGTTTCAAAGGCCGCCGCAGCCGTTCTGATTTTGGATCCCTTTCCCGTCAACAGGCACCCCGTCGTATAGATGGCGCCTAGCCGGAAACCTTCCTAAAAATCCCCTTTCTCAGTGAAGACCCCTGTGGGGCAGTCCTGGGCCTTCACCCCATGACCCATCATCCTTGCCAGTAGCTCTTGGCCTCTGGCATCCAAGTTCATTCATGCAGAGGAATGATGTCTCTCTGTTCCCCTTAATTCATTCTTCCCTCCCTCCCTCCCTTCTTTTTTCCCTTTCCTTCTATTCCCTCTCTTTCTCTCCCCTCCCTTCTGTCTCTCTCTCCATTCCCTCTCTTTTCCTCCCTCCCTTGCTCCCTCCCTCTTTTCTTCCTCTTTTCCTTTCCTTCTTTCCTCCCTCTCTTTCTCTCTCCTCCCTCATTTCCCTTCCTTTCTTCCTCCCTCCTTCCTTCCTTCTTTCTCACCTTCTCTGTCTTCCATTCCCCTCTTTCCTTCCATTTTTCCTCCTTCCTCTTTCCTACCTTTCTTTCTCCCCTCTTTCCTTCCTTTCTTCCTCCCTCCTTTTCTTCCTCCCACGGATGACCCCTGAATAGCCCTGGAGGGGGGAGAGAAATGGCCCTCGAATGGGTGGGCGAGAAGCAACTCACTCCCACCTAAGGTTCAACTGAACAGTTACACCTCCCATTTTGGGGGGGAGGGCTTTCAGGGAGACCCCCACCCACTCCTGCTGAAAACAACCCACTCACTCCATTTTTCCTCATGGAGGCAACCACAGTATTTAATGTCCTTCTTCTCTCCTTTTGACGCGAAACGCCAGCTTTTCAAAACTGGCCTTCTGTCTCTCTCTCTCTCTCTCCTTTCCCACCTTCTTCTCCTTCTTGTCTTTTAAACCTGGCTCCTTTTTTTTTCCAATTTAAGACAAGGAGGGAGTTAAAAAAGAAAAAGAAAGAGAGAGGGGAAACCACGAGGGTCCTTTGTAGACACGTTTTCTTCTGGACGTAAATCGAGGAGGAGGTTTTCCTTCCCAGGTCTTGGCTCTTTTATTTTTATTACTTTTAGTTGCCGTTGTTTTTTCGTTTTTTAAATATTATTTTTTATTGTCGTTGTAAAGAGACGTCGGATGTGACTTTAAAAGGTGGTGTTCCTTTTTACGTTTCTGTTTTCCCCCCCCCCTCCCCGGCGATGGACTGAGAAATGATTTCCTTGAGGCCCAAAGAAGAAGAAGAAGAAGNTCTGTAAACCGCTTAGAGAAGGCTGAAAGCCCTATGAAGCGGTATATAAGTCTAACTGCTATTGCTATTGCTATGTTCAATCCCCCACTTGGTGCAGAGTTTGTCTGCCAGTTGATATCTGGGTACTTAAAGTCTCTCACCTGGAGTATCTGGATGGACTTCAGAGAGGCCTTCTTTCTCAGCCCATCCTCCTTCACAGGGCTGTTGTGGAGGGAAGAGCTAAGTCCAGTTCCTGGAGGTGTTAATATACTTCTATGCATTCCTGATGATATAACTTTAAACAGAGCCAATACTTTTATTTCTCCTGTTTTATGTGCCAGATGTGCTTGCCTTCATTTTGTCAGCAGGGGGCACTACCTGCCCAGGTGTTTGTGCTCAGATTCATTCAAGGCTGTGTTCCCACAGGTCCAGCTGTGTTTGCAGCTGTGGCAAAGAGCCCTTCCAGACAGTGAGAGTTCGAGGCTTCTTGCCCGATCTTGGGAAAACATAGAACATCAGAGTTGGAAGGGACCTTGGAGGTCCTCTAGTCCAACCCCTTGTTTATGCAGGAGATCCTATACTATTTCCGGCATATGGCTGTCCAATCTCTTCTTAAAAACCTCCAGGGATGAAGCACCCCCAACATCTGGAGAGATGATCTTCCACTGGTTAATGGTTCTCATTGTTAGGAGACATTTTCTAGTCCACGCAGGAGATCCTACACCTGTCAGGTTTCCAAATAGCATCCAAAATTAAATCAAAATCCAAGGCAAAGAATTGCTCAAAGTCCCAATTTATTAAGTGAGCCATGTTGGGCCACCTGGGAAAACCTGAATCTGAAAGCTTCCCAGTTTTCTCACCCAGTTGAAAGTTCAAGAAAGTTGCCCCCACACCCACCAGTCCATCCCATGGCCCAATCTCCCACTGCCATGATGGCAGCTTCCATCCATCCAGTTCCGGTCAGGTGCAGAGGTGCAGAGACAAAGGATGACCTTGGCTTTCTAGAAAGAATGTTGTTGTGGCTACATATTATCTACCTCTGTACAATCCCCACAGTCCCGTTTTCCCACCATAGAAAATGCATAGCAGAATAATAGAAAGTGGGGCGGGCCAAAGAGATCCACAATAAAATATGGCTGCAGGCCTGGCAACACCATTCTAGACAAATGGTTGTCCAATCTTCTCGAAAAAAAACTTCCAGCAATGGAGCACCCACCACTTCTGAAGTCGTTCCACTGATTAATTGTTCTCACTGTCACCAAATTTCTCCTTAGTTCTAAGTTGTATCTCTCTTTTATGATGCTCCACCTATTTCTTCCTGTAATGAGGGGTTGGAAGAAATATCCATCTGGTTCAGTTCCAAGCTTGGAGAAAGGCACTGGAGACAAAATGGAGGCTGGA